CCGAACACGGGTTCAACGGATCGGGGGTTCCCTGTTGGACAAGCAGGACAGCACTGTGCTGTGCTGTGGGGCACGAAGAAAAAAGCCGAGGGGTATGGGATGATGAGAAGGTGTCGGATGCGGACTCGGCAGAGGAGGAGTGGGAGCAGGAGAAGGATTGGTGCACACCGTGGTTTCAGCCACGCCCGCTGCGAGTGTTGCCCGTCGCTTCGCCCGGCGTCGCCTCTTCCTCTTCTGACAGGCTCCTTGGGGAGCCGTGCAGGAGAAGAGGGCCGATGTGGAGGTGCAGCGGGATGCGGATTTGCAGCAGGTGGGGCAAGGATGTCCGTGGTTCGGTCGGTTCTGCTGCGTCGCAGTCGGTTGCGTTCGGTCGACTCGGTTCGCCCTTTCTTGCGGTCTGTTGGTTTCGGTCTGTTTCGGTTTCGCCATGCGGCTTTGAGGGGAGGGAGTCGGGATGTCCGCAGTATTGCGGCGTCTTGTGCCCCGAGTACCACCGCATCATTCTCCGCCTCCGCAACATACTCCGCGCCTCTGACGCGGAGGCGGAGTATGATGCGGATGCGGATGAGGAGCATGTGTATGAGGTGGAGGTGAAGGTATAGCGGAGGGAGGGGGAAGAAGGGCATGAGGGGAGGAGGAGGAGGAGGAGGAGGAGGGGAGGAGAGGAGGAGGGGGAGGGGGAGGAGGAGGTGGAGGAGGAGGAGGAGGATGAGGAGGCGGTGGAGGAGGAGGAGGAGGAGGAGGAGAGGAGGAGGAGGGAGGGGGAGGAGGAGGAGGAGGAGGAGGAGGAGGAGGAGGAGGAGGAGGAGGAGGAGGAATTCATGTTTTGGTTCTGTCACTAAATATCCTCGAGCTTTTCCAGAATTCCATCGAGGGATTTCACAAGGAGCTGTTGTTCATTACTGATCTTATTCTAGCTGGGCGTGTTGTTGGTCTCTTGGCGGACTTTCTTCTTTCCTCGTGGGACCCTGCCCCCCGCTGCAAAGCCAAGGGTGGAGAACGCAGGCCTTTAAGGAGCTGCGATGAGCCATGGGGGATTTCAGCCAGGTCGCCCTCGGAGTGGAGGCAGCTGGAGCTCGACAATGCGTGCCTTCGGGCGGCACTGACGCTGGCGCTGTGTGCGGCGTCCTCGGGCCTGGCGACCTTGCTCATTTTAAACCCACCTGCTCCGCAAGCCAATTTGCCCTGTATTTGGAAGGTCCCCGAGGTCAGGTTCCTGTGCTCCCTGCAGGCTGCGTCTCCGACAATCACGTCGAGCTGTGTGCCCATTGGGGACCGTCAGTGCCTGTGCATGAATGCCGTGCCGATCCTGGCCCCTCCTGACAGCAGCCAGGTCGAGTTCTATGTAGCTGCTGTTATCACGCAGGCAGCCTCACAACGCTGTGCCCCCACGCCTCCTGGGGATGCATGGCTAGAGGCGTCAGTTGCCCATCTATACGCCCCGCTCGATCTGTATTGCGAGTCGGGTTGATGCTGGCCATTGCTGCTCTCCTCGTCCCCCGCTATACTTGCCGCCTATCTCACCGCTGACGTATGCATGCGTGGACACCTCAGACGTTGGTCCTCAGGGCTGTGGGAAGACGAAGGAGGAGGAGGAGGAGGAGGAGGAGGAGGCGGAGGAGGAGGAGGCGGAGGACGGGGAAATTCACGAATGTGGATCTAGAGGTGGTGTGTGAGTTAGAGGGAGAGGAGGGAGTGGATGGATGTGCAGGAGGAGGAAGAAAGTGGAGCAAGATGGAGGAGGAATAACGAGGTTGCGGGGGTGATGCGCAGGACGGGGGGATGGGAAGCAGGATGCGGGAAGGAGGAGGGGGGGATGATGGGAGGGCTGTTTGTTCCCAGCACTCCTTGGTTGGGTATTCGTTTTGAATAGAGCAGTGTGGTCTCCACTCCTTCCTCCTCCTCCCTCCCTCCCTCCCTGCCTCTTCCTGTCTTGCCTGCGGGGGGCTGCGATCTGTGAAACGGTCGCCATTTTCGAGGCCTGCTGGGGGGCCCAGCAAAGTGAGGGCCCCGCGCGGATTCAAATTAGACCTCGCCATCCCTGGGGGGCTGCGATCTGTGATACTGTAGCTATTTTCGAGGCCTGCTGGGGGGCTCAGCACAGTGAGGGCCCCGCGCAGATTCAAATTAGACCTCGCCATCCCTGGGGGGCTGCGATCTGTGAAACTGTCGCCATTTTCGAGGCCTGCTGGGGTGCCCGGCACAGTGAGGGCTCCGCGCGGATTCAAATTAGACATCGCCATCCCTGGGGGGCTGCGATCTGTGAAACTGTCGCCATGTTCGAGGCCTGCTGGGGGGCCCAGCTCAGTGAGGGCGGCGCGCGGATTCAAATTAGACGTCCCCATCCCTGGGGGGGTTGCGATTTGTGAAACTGTCGCCATTTTCGAGGCCTGCTGGGGGGCTCAGCGCAGGAGGGCGACGCGCAGATGCAAATTGGGGGGGGGGGGCGCGATCTGTGAAACTGTCGCCATTTTCGAGGCCTGCTGGGGTGCTCAGCACAGTGAGGGCCCCGCACGGATTCAATTTGGACCTCGCCATCCCTGGGGGGGTGCGATATGTGAAATTGTTGCCACTTTCGAGGCCTGGCGGGGGGGCCAGCGCAGTGAGGGCGACGCGCAAATTCAAATTAGACCTCGCCATCCCTGGGGGGGGGGGTGCGATCTGTGAAACTGTCGCCATTTTCGAGGCCTGCTGGGGGGCCCAGCACAGTGAGGGCGACGCGCAGATTCAAATTAGACCTCGCCATCCCTGGGGGGCTGCGATCTGTGAAACCGTCGCCATTTTCGAGGCCTTCTGGGGGGCTCAGCACAGTGAGGGCGACGCGCAGATTCAAATTAGAGCCATCCCTGGGGGGCTGCGATCTGTGAAACTCGCCATTTTCGAGGCCTGCTGGGGGGCCCAGCACAGTGAGGGCCCGCGCAGATTCAAATTAGACCTCGCCATCCCTGGGGGGCTGCGATCTGTGAAACTGTCGCCATTTTCGAGGCCTGCTGGGGGGCCCAGCACAGTGAGGGCCACGCGCGGATTCAAATTAGACCTCGCCATCCCTGGGGGGCTGCGATCTGTGAAACTGTCGCCATTTTCGAGGCCTGCTGGGGGGCCCAGCACAGTGAGGGCCACGCGCGGATTCAAATTAGACCTCGCCATCTCTGGGGGGGCTGCGATCTGTGAAACTGTCGCCACTTTCGAGGCCTGCTGGGGGGCCCTGCGCAGTGAGGGCGACGGGCGGACCCAAATTAGACCTCGCCATCTCTGGGGGGCTGCGATCTGTGAAATTGACGCCACGTTCGAGGTCTGCTGGGGGGCCCTGCGCAGTGAGGGCGACGGGCGGACTCAAACTAGACCTCGCCATCCCTGGGGGGCTGCGATCTGTGAAACTATCGCCACTTTCGAGGCCTGCTGGGGGGCCCAGCACAGTGAGGGCCTTTGCGGATTCAAATTAGATCTCGCCATTCTTTTGGGGGGCTGCGATCTGTGAAATTGTCGCCACTTTCGAGGCCTGCTGGGGGGCCCAGCACAGTGAGGGCCCCGCGCAGACCCAAATTAGACCTCGCCATCCCTGGGGGGCTGCGATCTGAAATCCCCGCTTTCGAAGTGGCTAGGGTTGCTCAGGGATTGCAACTAATCACCATTATCTAGTCCTTGTCCTGAAGCCAGTGTCCTGCGAGTCTCCCGAATTCCGTCTGCAGACATATGTAACCCTCGCTCCGTCTTCGCCCCCTTATGAAGTGTCCAAAATTATTTGTGCCCCGCGTTTGCGCAGGGGTTGGGTACGTCGCCAGGGTAATTTTTCTCTGTGTGTGTGTGTGTGGGAGTGAGTGAGTAGGTGTGTGTGTGTGTGTGGATGGGTGGGTGGGGGTGGGTGGGTGGAAGGGTGGGTGAGTGGTGGGTGGGACGACGGGGGGGAATGGGTGGGGAAGGTGCCACAGTAAAACGTATGTGTGCGTGTGTGGGAAGGGGTGGGGTGGGGTGGGCTGGGGGGGGAGGAGGGGGAAAAGGGGGGAGCAGCGGAAGGACCATGCAGAGGATGAGGAGAGGAGGAGGAGGAGGAGGAGGAGGAGGAGGAGGAGAGAGGAGGAGGAGGAGAGGAGAGAAGAGGAGAGGAGAGAGGAGGAGGAGGAGGAGGAGGAGGAGGAGGGAGGAGAGAGGAGGAGGAGGAGGAGGAGGAGGAGGAGGAGGAGGAGGAGGAGGAGGAGGGAGAGGAGGAGGAGGAGGAGGAGGAGGAGGAGGAGGATGAGGAGGAGGAGGAGGAGGAGGAGGAGGAGGAGGAGGGGGACCCCGGATGCAGGAGGGCAGGCCTGCCGAGGCGCAGGCAGCGGGGATTGGCCCAGCGGGGGTTCGCGAGTCCTCTCCGGCTCACCCGGGCTCGGGAGCGGTGTTGAGCCGCCCCCCTTCCCGTTTGGTTACGACAGTGCTTTCGGGTCGTTGTTCAGGCCTGGGCGGTACAGCGCTGCGTAGTGCAGCACTGGCCTTCACCCCTCTCGATTGGGGTTGCGGGTCAGCTTCGCGATCTCTTTTCTCATGGCTCGTGATGCGAAGGGCACGCGTGCGAGCTAACAGGGACATCAGGTGGCCGTTCAGGACGGTTCTGGCAACCCGGCAACGCCTATCGACGAGGCGCAGGGTTGATGGACCCCCCCCCAAGCTTCGGAATCTGTCGAGAGCCTCTCCAAGCTTTGGCAAACAAAGGAAAACCTCTGGGCTGGGAGTTGCGTCGTGGCAGGCACAGGTCCGCGACCGATGGCCCTGTCTGAACCCGGCCGTCGCTGGCCCCAGGCCAGGCCTGTCCCCGAGCCCTGCCCATAATTCGGGGACATGAGACCCTAATCAGACCAATCAGGAGAGATTTCCAAAGGTGTGGTAGGATTGTCCCCTGGAGGACAAGCCCTTCCTCCCCTTCCTCGAGGGCAATTCCCCCCGAGGACACTCCCCCTCTCCTTCCTTGTCAGGTTGGGGCTTCCCGCCTCCTCTTCCCCCGCGCCTCGGCGCGCGGCTTGGAGGACGCGACGTTCGGGGCTGCGTTAGAGCAGGTGGTGAAGCCCCTTGTTGACGGCATGACGAGCGAGCGGGATAGACCCCAGGCTCCTCCTCGGCCTTCTCCTCGTCTCTCTCCTCCAGCACTGTTCGGCTCCGTCTTCTCCCCGTCCCTCCCCTCCAGCGCCTCTGCCTCCTCCTCGCCCCTCTCCTCGAGCACCCCTGCCTCTCCTCCCAGCCTTTTCCTCCTCGTCCCTCCCCCCTCCTCCTTCTCCTCCTCCGTGCCTCCTCCTCGTCCCTCTCCTCTCCTTGTCCCGCCTCCTCTCCTCGTCCTTCTCCTCAACCACTAGCCTCTTCGTCCCTCTCGTCCAGCACCTCTGCCTCCTCCTCGCCCCTCTCCGCCGAGCGGGCGCGGCTGCGCTGGGCGGCTCGGCGTGGAGGCCCGACCGGTCGCCGCCAGTTCTCCGCCTCCCCAGGGAGGCCACCGCTACTGCTGCTGCAGCGGAGGGACAGGACGTGGTCGTCTCGCCGTCGTCGGTGGTCCTGATTGCCGCTCGCTCCTCCTCGTCCCTCCAAGACCCGTCGGCTCCGTGGGACCTGCGCCCTTCACCGAGTACTCAGAGGCGCAGAAGGCGCCTGGCTACGAGCAGCGCGTGCGCGCGCTGCTGCAGCGCATCGAGGCCAAGGGGGCCAGGCAAAGCGTGACCCACGCGCCCCAGCCTTACTCTCTGATATTCGTGTGGCCGCCCGTCTTCTTCGGAGATTCTCTTCTACACCTCCAACGCCATTCGGCATGACAAATCCATCGACGATGAGTTACATCATGGACGCCAGTGCCCCGAGAGCTGCCTGGAAGCGCACGTATAGTTCTTGCGTCTTCCTCCTGGGCTTCGTGCCCTCCTCGTCCCTCCTCTGCCCCCCTTGTGGCGCGGTCGCGGGCCACGTGCGCCGCGAGGCGGCCGAGCGCGAGGCAGGAATCGAAGACGAAGCAACAGCATAAGCATACAGCTTCGGAGCTCTTCGAGGATTTCTGGAATCATCGCTGGACCCCCTCCTGGCGCGCGGAGCGCGCTAGGGGGCGGCGCCAGGGGGGCCAGCGGCGATCGACAAAAACCGCGCGGCATTCCGAGATTTCATGCTCATGGCGTCTGTTGGCCCTTTACGAGCGCAACTCGGCGACGAGCCCGAAGTGAGAGGGATAAGCCTTCTCAGAAGAAGACGGGCCTTCTCAAAAGCCCTCTGGCCTTTATGAGAAGCCGTCGGTGGCTTCGCAAAAGGCTTGCAAGGCTTCTCATGAGGCGCCAGGGCTTCTGGGAAGCTCCGCCTCCTTCTGAGAAGGCCTGCTCCCCTCTCAGCTCCCCCCTGGGCTCGCCGCCAAGCAGCGCGGACACCGAGTGTGCGGAAGCCAAGAGGCACCGAGAGGGCCGCTCCCCGGGGCCTCTTGCCGGGGTGCGTTCGGACCAGGACCTCGAGGCGAATCCAGCGGTGGCGACGAGGGCCTCCGGGGAGGCCGGCGCCCAGAGGTCCTGAGGTGGGCCGGGCGGTCGGGCGGCCGGGCGGGGTCTTAGGCTCGACGTCTGGCGGCCCTGCGCCAGCGGAGCCGAGCTGCGCCGCTGCCGCGCGGCGGCGGCAGCGGGCCGAGCCTCGGGAGCCCGACGCCCAGCGCGGCCCGGAACGGCCAGTGCGCCGCCCAGGTCAGTCTCGAAGGAGAGAGAGTAGGACGGGCCACGACGATGGGTCCGCGGCCGCCTTCCCCCCCCTCCGCGGCCGCCATCTTCCTCCTCGTCCTCCTCTTCCTCCTCGTCGTCGTCCTCGTCGTCCTCGTCGTCGTCGTCCTCCTCCTCCTCCTCCTTGTCCTCCTCCTCCTGCCCCCTCCGCGGTCGCCCTCCTCCTCCTCCTCCTCCTCCTCCTCCTCCGCGGTCGCCATCCTCCTCTTCCTGCTCGTCCTCCTGTACGTCTTACTCAACCTCCGCGGCTGCCCTCCTCGTTCTCCTCTCCTCTTGTCCGGTGTCTGCCCTGGCTCGGTGGCCTTTGATGACGTCGGCGCGATCGTTTGTCGCGCGGGCCCCCCCGGGAGTCACGGAGGTTGCAGCTTGAGCTCGTGGCAGCTGTTTTCCCCGTGCAGTGCCTGCACCCAACCCAGGGGGGCCTGCATGATCCCCACCCACGAAGCTTCGAGGTTTTGCCACTCGAGGTTTTGCCTCCAGTGCCTGTCCCCAGGGGGGCCTTGCTGTTCACCGTCCACGAAGCGTCGAGGTTTTGCCACTCGGGGTTGTGCCTCCAGGGCCTGCACCCAGGGGGGCCTTGCTGCTCACCGTCCACCAAGCCACCGCATCCCAACCCGAAGGCACCAGGTTGCCCCCCCAATCCCGGTGGAACGGCGTCGGGGAACATTGAGAAACACACATGGGGAGCCCGCACCCCCCCAACCCGGAATTTGGGTCTTCGGCTTGGGTTGGGGTGGTCTGGTAGGTTGCCACTTTCGGTCGCCCCGAGGGTTCCCCACTCTGCCGCCGGTGTGCGCCCCGTGGGCGCTCTGTGCGCCAGGCTGGTGTGCCGAGGATGCGCCACGTGGCCTCGCGGGGGCGCTCCGTGCGCTGGGTGGGTTTGCCGAGGATTCGCCACGTGGCCCGGCGTAGGGGGGGGGGCATGGGGGAGGGGGAGCAGGAGGGAAGCGGGAAGCTCATGAACAGCCTGAAAGGCATCTCAATCCCTGTGTTTGACATCGCCTTGTCCCCGTGACGAGTGAAGCTTCCCCCCAGCTTCCGCGGGCGCGACTTTGAGATTGTTGTCGCATTAGGCCTGCTAGCCGTTCGGTGTACGGCAGGTTGGGCGTTCCGGGACGCAGGCGCCTTCGGTTCGGAGGGTGGATGTCGGTCTGGCATAGCGTGGCCAGACGAGGTCGCGACCTTCGTGCAGCATGCACGTTTCCTCCCCCCTCCTCCGTCGCTTCTCCCTCATCCTCCCCAGCAAAAACCTTCATTTCACCCCGCCGATTGATAAACTGCGAGCGTGTATCATGGTGAGCAGCTGTGCGCATGACTTCGCACCAACCACAAGTTCCAGCCATCTTGCATGTTTGAGATCACACATTCCATATGTGCACCGCTTAGCCGTTCGCATCTTCTCGTGCTCATTGAAGTCTCTTCGGGCTGTAGCACCAGATCGCACGCAACTGACAGCAGGACAGGCCACTTCTTTGTCAGAGGTGTGGTGGAGTGGGGTGCAAGGAGGAAGGGGATTATGAGGATGAGAATGGGGAGGATGAGCACCATGAAGGGGGGGTGAGGAAGAGGATGAGAAGGAGGAGGAGGAGGAGGAGGAGGAGGAGGAGAAGGAGGAGGAGGAGGAGGAGGAGGAGGAGGAGGAGGAGGAGAAGCAAGAGTGGCGGAGCATATACTAATTTCTCCAGGTTCTGTTCGAGATCCTTGACAGGATGGCTTTTCTTTCCCAGCTTGAGCCGCCTGCTGCTCGATCGTCCTCCCCTTGAAGGATGGGAAAATGAGGAACGCGAGAGCAGACGAGGCTTCACAAGAGCAGCATGGAGGGGCGCTGGATTACGCGAACTATGGGATGGGGAGGGGATGGGAGAGGGGGAGGGGGAGAGCGGAGTGGGGGAGGGTGGGTGGGGGGTGGGGGAAGGAGGTCCTCACCTTCTCTGCCTCCCCATACCCCCCCTCCCCTCCCCACCACCCCCAGGAAGAGGGAGGGAGCCTTGTTGAGGCAACTCCCAAGTGGAAACCCAAGTATATAGGGTCGGAGGATCTCGCTGCATCGCTGTTACATCGGCGATGCGGCTCGATTTGGAGTCCGATGTTCTCTACGCCGCCGCCGCCGATGCATCGCCGATGCATCGCCGATGCATCTGCAGTGCCTTGACGATGCGGCGCTATCCTCCCATCCCATCTGCTCGGGCCTCACTGTGGAGGCCTGTCGGGCGCCGAGGCGGTCACATGGAGGGGAGAAGGCCACAGTGAGGGGCACGAGAAGAAGCGGCGAGCTCGAAGGCTGACGACGATCATCCGCCAGATCATCGTGTCCGAAGGCTCTGCGGGAGCGCTTCGCCAATCAGAGCAGCCCTCCATTGCTGTCTGCTGCCCCGGCTGCTGCGGGGGCGAAAGCAGGCAAGGCCCGTGCACGCGCGCGGTGGCAGGCCCGTGGGCGAGGGGCCCGCTTCCGTCAAGTAGGGCATGTCCCTCTACAGGAGGAATCCGGCGATCCGGCGTGTGAGTTTCAAAGACCCTCAGAACAGCCTGAGCCTCAATTCCTGAGCTTCAGCTCTACTGGGGGGTGGGTGCCGGGGTGGCTCTGCCGGGGTAGGGGGAGGGGGGGGGGGGTAGATTTACTTCCCGGCGCGGAATCGGAGCTCCAGCTCACTCCGGGACGGCCCCCTCGCCCAGGAGGGCCCCAACATGTGCCAAGAGGGCTCCGAATCGCCGAACGATCGTTACAAGACACCCAAGATGTCCCCAAGACGGCTCCAGAAGTCTCCAAGATGCCCTCAGAAGCGCTGAAAAGGCCTCCCAAAGAAGGCCCAAAGAAGCAACAAGTGTCCCATTCCTTAGGGAAAACATGCAATTTTAGCATATTCGCCTCTTGGGCCGTCAGAGCGTCGCAGGCGCCCCTTAGAGCCCCAAAACGGCCCAAGAAGCCGCCCAGAGGGCTCCACGACGGCCCAAGACGGGCCCAAGATGGCCCAGGAGGCCCCCAGAAAGGCCCAAGAGGGCCCCAGGACGGGCCCAAGAGGCGCCTGAGAGGGCGCCAAGACGGCGGAAAAAGTGCCGAAGACAGCCCAAGAAGCCTCCAGCAGGCCCCCAGAGGCCCCCAAGAGGCTTGAAGAGGCCCCATGACGCTTCCAACTGGCCCCGAAGAGGCCCCCTGAAGCGCCCTGAAGGCCCCCAAGAGTCTCAACAAATGCATCCAAGACGCCTTCTAGAGGCCTCCAAGCTGCCTCCAAGACTCCCCCCGAGAAGCCCAAAACCGGCCCCACTGCTTCCACAACGCTTACGTCTGAACACAAGCGTTGCAGTACAACAGGTTCTTCCACGCCTTCACATATTCTCTCGTCTTCGGTGTCCTTCACACCCATGATCTCAGAAGAGCCCGCAGAGGACCGCGCGAAGGCCCCAGAGACCCCACACACACCATGGTTCCCAGCAGAGACCGGTGATGCACAAGGCTCCACAAAGAATTGTGACGCAGGCAGCTCTAGCACAAAACTTGTCGGAGAGTGCGCCAAATCGGCGAGGTGTCAACCCAAAGAGGCTTTCCAACAACCGCCGAACATTTCCAACAACCGCCGAAAATCTCCTCATCCTCGTCATGCTCCTCGTTTTCCCCCTCCCCCTCTTCCACTTCCCGCTTCCTCCTGCTCCTCCACATCCTCGGCATCCTGCTACTCCTGCCCCCCCCCCACCCCCCATCCACCTCATCATGATCATCCTCCCCCTCATCTTACTCCGTTGCCTCCATTCCCAATCCTCATCATCATCCTCACCGCTCGCCGTCGTCGCCGGTCATGACCGCCATCGTGCGCTTCCGGCAGCAACGGAAGCGTCCCGGATCGGCGGCCTTGGCCGGAAGCCACTACAATATTCAAACATAGTTGGAAATAGTCTGGGGACGTTTGTTCGACTATCCTGGCTATTGCTGATCATGCTCGATCATTTTTGAATTTCATGTTTCCTCCCACATCCGCCTGTAGAAGGACACGCCAGACCTCACGCTACCACGGGGCCAGACCTTGGTCTATTCGTCACCTTATCGAGGGGCGGATGCCCACGGCTTCTCCACAACAGGCCGCGCATGGGGTCAGGGGCAGCGCTAGCGGCACATATGTTGCGTCTGCGGCCGGGCAGAGTGACTGCGCTGGCGGAAAGAGCAAGTGTAGGACATACAGATGCGAATCCAACCTCGATGCGCGAGGTGTGGGGGAAGGAAGCCCGGCGCGGGCGGGAGGAAGGGGAGACCAGGCCCGTTCAGAACGGGGCCATGCCGCGGCAGAGGCAGCGACATGGCGGCGGGAAAGCGGTTGCCGTTGTCAGCCGAGAAGGGCGGCAGCCAGGAGGCGGCCGAGCCAGGCGGGGGGGCGGAACAGGCCCAGGCGAGTTGGGAGCGGGCAGCGCAGCGGGACGGCCGTGTGCCGAGGTCGGTGCGACCTCCAGGCGACCGGGCGGCAGCTGGAGAAGACCACCTCAGGGGAGGGGCCGTGGGGTCGCCGGGGAAGGAGCCCAGCAGGTGGGAGCAGGGGCGCATACACATACACACCAAGATGGTTCCAGGGGCGCCCAAGTGGCCCCGACAGGGGGAATCCAGATTCACATGTCGGGCCTTTCCCTAGAGATGGCCTCCGAGACTGCCAGGAGGCCGAGCGGGCGGGGTTGGAGGTTTTCGGGGCCTCGCTGGTTCTCAGCGATTGTCCAGCTTCGGGGTGCCTGGCAGCGGCCGCGCCCCGCCGAGAGCGTTCCGCGGGTGTCCGGATCGCCCCGAACGGCCGCCAGAACTCCGAGTTATCGCCCGGCAGCAGCTCCGGATTGATTCGGGCGGCGTTCGGGGGGAAGTCTCTGGGGGGATGCGTCGATCCCCTATCGCATGGATCGATGCGTTGTCGACGAGGGCTTATTGGCGCACCGCGCCCAGGAGCGCGCAGATTGGCCATCGGGGGCGCGTCGCCGATCTAATGGCGATGCATCGCCGATTTCAGGTCGTCGGCGCCCCCCCCCCTTAGCCGGTCATTCCCACCATTGCCCCCCATGGGGCCGCGAGGCCGGGGGCCCTTTATCTTTTGTTTTTGTCCGGCACCCGCAGGTGCGCGAGGGAACTTATGCCAATGTGTGATTGTGCGTATTTGGTTCATGTGTATACATATAACGGCGCACCGGGTCCGGGGGCCTGGGGCCGGGACCTCGACCACAAATGTGCACCCCGGGGGCCCCGGAGGCTCGTCGGGGCTTGCCGGAGGCCTCCCCAGTCAGACAAGACGGCCCCAGAAACGCCCAAGACGGCCCAAGAAACTTCCAAGAGGCCTCCAAGAGGGCTCCGAGATGCTGAAGATGGCCTCCAGACGTCCAAGGACGCCCCCCAAGACGCCCCAAGAA